TTCTTCTCTGCCCATTGTCAGATGTGCTGTTAGTCGAAATCATTTACGTCAAAAATTATTATTAATTTATTTTTTTTTTGTTATTATTAAGGTTATTAAAAATACTATTCAATCGGGTTATTAATTAAATTGGGATTTCTGATTATCGCTTTCTTTGTAACGCTTCTCAACTATGCTCCAGATTAATGAAATACATTATTATTGTCTAAAACGTCAATGCCAATTCAAGTAGATTTTCAAAATGTTAAAGTTAGTGCATTTTAAATGAAGAAAATATAGTCAAGTTTAAGCATTAAAGAGTTTTAAAGTGTTTTAAAGCATAAAAATATCATACCACTCACTAAATCGTTAAGGGTTTTTCGGGATTTAGACTTTTTCTAGTTCAAATGTGGAAGCAATTCAATTTTAAACGCTCAAAAATTGAATCAGTGCATCAAGTAAGTTTTTCATTTAATGTTGGCAGGACGCGACAGCTTATTAATTTATTTCAAATGGCAGGCATTTTGATAGTTATCATTGGGGGCTTCACAGAGGAGAGGAACATCAAAGTGAGAAAAATTCGAGAGGGGAAAAGAAGAGTGATTCACAAATGTAAAAAGACAGAAAAACACAAAGGTAGAGAATAGGTCAGATGAGTACTGCGGAAAGGGTCGAATATGATATACCGTTGGGGTCATGGCAGTTTGAAGTCAGAAGTCAGTTTATAGATTATTTTTTGCCGTATGAGTATACGTTTCCCAGGGTGTACCACTTGGATGTAAGTCTATCAAGCACCCTGCTTAGTAATTATTGTGAAATCTATTATGGCTCAGCTTTTTGATATTTCCATTAATTTATTTCAATTTCAATTACACTGCAATAATGGAATAATCAGATTGTAATGATTTATGCTCTTTTATTCCTTTCCTTCTAATTTTATTGGGAATTTCAAATTACCTGAAGGATGTATAGCCATAAATTGGACAAAATTTAAAGTATATATTTATCGGAGCAATTTTCGGTTCTCAAATAGATATAATAATTTTTGCATTTAGATATACATATTAATTAAAATTATTATTTATTAATTTATATAACCCTGATCCCTTAAATTAGTATCAAAAACGCAGTTAAATATATCTTTTTCAGTTTATCTCCAATGGAATAAGATAAAGCAAGTGAGGAGTTTTTAAACTATAGCGGATTGCTACTTTAGTAAAGCCTGACTGACTCAGAAATCTCTATGGCAGATTCTCCAACATCTAGCTAGACTCCCAGAACCAGCTAAGCTATAGCCCAGCTATAGAAGGAAACAGACGTTTAGCACGGAGCACGTTTGTTCAGTAGATAAACCACGCAAGAAGTGTACAAAGGAAGGAACTCAATCATACAACATGGCGGATTTGGTAAAACAAGTGAGGGTCACTGAGCTGCTATTGGCTGCGTGCTCTTGTCCTCAATCCGTACGCGAGGTTGTACATCCGCACCTCAAGCCTATGTGTACGCGCATGCGATGACGTGTCCCACAAAACTTTGAGTTCGTTTTCCCCCCCATTCCTATTCTGCATAAAACCTCTGCTTGAGGAACCCAAACTTTTTTTCCTCATTAGGAATTGAGATTTCTTCGATGCAACATTGACTGATGAATTAGCCACAACCCTTAGACTCACAATGTGTTTCCAAATTTACGGGAAGGTAAAGTTGGTATTTTACAATTCATCTCATGGACAAACACATGAATACACGAAATAACGAAATAGTCCAATTGAGGTTGAAAAAAACTAAGGATTACTCAAGTAATTTATTTTTTCAAAGATTTACCTCATTCGGATTTCAAAAGTATGAACTTTTCTCTCAATAATTCGATCAAATCCTATTCTTCCTATTTGATCCTGAACCGGAGTGTGTGATAGACTTACCTCCACGTGGTACACCCTGGGCAACGTATACTCATACGGCAAAAAGTCTATAAACTGGCAGTTGACTTCTGACTTCTAACTACTATCACCCCACTGTATGCCATATTCCACCATTTCAGCAGATCTCACCTTACCTTCTATTCAACATTTGTGCCTGTCTGTCTATTTTACATCTGTGAATCATTATTCTGCCCCCCCCCCCTATCTCAACTTTCTATCACTTTGATGTTCCCCCTCCTCCTCTGTGAAGCCTGAAGTCAGCTAAAGGGCTAATGATAACTAACCAAATGCCTGCCATTTGAAATTAATAAAATAAAATTGATCCTGAACACATCCATAACCATTTATATCCTGCTGAAAATATTGACGAATTGTTAATACTTGCACTTTAATTAATTTATCTCTTATTATACAGTCAAAGGTAGGTAAATGCGTCGGGAAAGCCTCTCCTTACTCAGTAATTGGATGTTGCGTATTGCAATTGCGAATATAACTTGGTATTATAGTAAAATTAATCTTTTGAAAATTCAAGTGCGTAAAATCACTTTTCTCAAAGCACACATGCGTACAAGGGTTGAAGGATCGAACAATATGCATCATGTTTTCCGTTGAAAGATAAGAAAATTTGGCAAAGTTAAAACTATTTGATTTAATGCGTTTATGTATTAGAAAAGTAGGATCTAAACCGATGTGTAACAGTAAGTGAATTTTTCTTTGTGCAGTTAGTTATCTGAGAAACTCACTGGAGGATTTTCAAACATCCCCCCCCACCCCCCCTCCCACCCATTTGATTGGTGATAACAATTACAGACAATTGCCTTTCGATCCGGTAATATTCTTTTCACAGACTTAATTAATGTAGGAGTATAAGTAAACTATATGCTTTAGAAGGAACAACGTAGAAAGATTGATTGTCCCAAATTGAAAATGAAAAGTGGTGTGGATTTTTAGAGTTAGATGAATTTTTAATACACCAATTTGAAAACGAAAACTTCTAATGCGTAAACAGTTAAACTGCTGGCAAATGATGCTGGCAAATTTAATGGGCCACATGTTTGACCTCAATTTAGCCCAATCACGCTGCAGAGCCATTTGGAAACAATGGGCATAAAAGATCCTTTGTGGATAATTCCATTTATGCTTATTCTGACAACAACCCCGTAGAATTTAATTGCCTAAATTTAATTTAAATGGTGCTAGAACTGCTGTTTTAAATCAATTTCGGTAAGTCGTATATGAAGACTGTAAAGCCGCAAAGGGCAAAGATAATTTAGATCAATAAAATTATGTATACATTATAAATCTCAACTCCCATTGTATAAACGTTCGCAGCCCGTGTGCTTATGAAATATCACAGGGTTACAGTGGTCTACTATTCAAAGGTATCAAACTGAAGAAACCTTGATTTATTTGTTATTTTATTCAGAAAATACCATATAAATGAGATTTTAACTGACTGGTGAATATTGAATCATTCATTATTTCCAATTGATCTTTTTAATCGATTTTGCCGAACAAGACCAGTTCGTTACTGAAACAGTTACTAAATGGTGGTTTGTCTAGCCGTGAAATAAATAATCATGGTGACGATAAAAAAGTTTACTTAAACCTGAATGTATCGAGAAAATAGTAAGATAATCGTAATTTTGTTATCAAGATTAGCTGCTGAGGGTAAAATCACTGCAATGCCATGCTCTCTGGGCATATTACTTACTTCTTATTGGTGCAAATTTTAGCATAAAGATGAACTACAGGTCTTTCCTTGTTAATTCCGAGGCAATGTGTGAACGCTGTGTCGATGAATGGCAGCATTAATTTTGAATACTAAAACGGTTCAATCTCACCTAATGTTTCTTAAATAACTCTAAGTAGATGGACTTAAGATTGCGTTTAATTACTGGAAGAATAAAGTTGTTTTGAATTGGGGTAATAAAATTGAAATAGTCCCTTGGAATTTGCTTCTTGAATCGTGGTGATTTGACAGAATTTAATCGAAATTCATTATTACATAAAATTAATCCTTGTTCTTAATTCTTTTACAAAGTCTTAGTAATTATGCTTTGACTTAAGATGGGCATTCGCATACTCCTACTTGAATTATAAAATGATCTATCAAATCCACAATTACTAGGAGCATTGTTTTAAGGCAAAAAGGCATTAAATATTCTTTGAATCGATTCGCATTTTCATTCAATCATTAACAATTATTAGTTCTGTGTTTAAAAGACAGAGCGCAATTTGAGATCCGTTTGGCAAATTAAGTGAATTAATGTGCCATCTCATTTAAGATTAAAAAGTTGATCAGAACTGTGAAGAACTACAGGAAGGATAAAGTGAAATGTTTCCATAAATACTCGATTCTGACTTCTTTAAAAATATAATATAATAAATAAATGAATTATTGCGAATAGAAGTTAAAAGAATAATCAAGAAAAATTATTAATCAAGGGTAAAAAAGCTGCATTCTACAAGAAATCCTAAATAATTCTGAACCACCTCCACAGGCTCCGGTAGCAAAGACCCATTGGATAGCCGAGTTCTTCAATCTATTCTTACCTCAAAGACTTTCGAAATAACTTCACCTTCCTTGGGCAGCCCCATCTGTATTCATTTTGCTCTGTTGCATTTGGCGTAAGTTATTATAATCAGATTCTGTTGTTTCTAACCCCTATCTAATACATTTTTAGGGATATGCGGGTGGATTGTCACCATTTCAGTAGTTTTTGAATCTAGCGTTAGGTAGTTTGAAAATGAATTGTGGGATTAAAATATTCAGCTTAAGCACAAGCAACCAACAGAAAGGATAAACATTCGTTAAATGAGTGAAATGTTTGTTCTTCAAACGAACCTTGGTCTTCCGTTTTTTTTGGGGGGAAGGGGGGGGGGGGGGGGGGGGGTTTATTTTTTTT